ACAAATACACACACAAACTTATACGTATGTCGTTACAATATGCTTTTTTTACAAACTGTCGCAGCTAAAAATGCGCAAAAGTGGTGATTATACGATTGGTACTGTTGAATATGTCTTCATTAGATATGTTAAACAACTAGTTTGTAATAAAATCTTTAAAGGTAAAGTGCCTGATACTGACGCGGAGGTGGAATATCGTCGGTTTGCAGCATATGTTCAGAATGTTGAAAAAATTCGGGAGCACAATGAGCGCTATAAGCGTGGTGAAGAAAGTTTTGAGATGGCTATCAATCAGTTCACTGATATGGTACTTTCATTTTAAATCATTGATCAGCGAAGATCGGATTTCAAGCTACTAAGTTAGAAAAGCCGCAGAATATCTTTATTTCTAAGAAATGGGCAGCTGTTTTGTTATAAGAATAATTTTCTACCATAACGCCGAGAAAGCATTAGCAGCTCGCTCTGGAAGACAGAATAATTTAAACCGCGGTACTCAACCAGTGCAACCGTCCGCTTGCAAAACTGTCGATAGCTTTTTTCCTCGGGTAAAAAAGCTGACGGCGATTCCGACCTTTGAGGCTTGCGCCTTTGCCAATTTGCTGCCACAAATCTTTGAGGAACCTGGTCATCCCACTGTCAAACTGGCACATCGGCTTAAGTCTGAAAGTGACATTCATACCCCAATCTTTCCCCTAATGGGTATTTTTGGAATACTTTCCAAAGGAGCTTTTTCGTAAAGGAAATTCTTGCTTTCTGGACTAAACGTGATGGAAGTTGAGGCAGCTTCTAGCTTGTGCTGAACACAAGTCGATGTTGTCGACAGAGCTTCGGCTGTTCAGTCTACTGCTGAAGTAAGAGATGAGTTCTGAACACATCAGGATAATAAGCATGCAGAGTCTGGGCTCGCTTTAATACGCAATCATCCCAATATTCTTAAGCAGGTTGATTCGAAACTATGTCGGTTTATCACTCACAACTAAACACAACCTCTTCCTCCCGATCTCTTCTTTTCACAAAAAACGGAACTTTGCATGAGCATTCGTGGCAGTGATTGAATTTGAGTGAGAAAAA